ACTGACAAATACCTTGGTGTCATGCCAAGACCCCTAAATGACTTGCATGCCCCAAAACCAATTTTTTGACGTGCAATGCGTCCATTATTGAAGTTGGTGTCGACTGATGATGGCCCCAAGAGGTTGCACCAGAAGCAAAGATCAACCAATATAACAGCAATTAACATTCATATAGCCTAGTATTCATTCGGTGCCTTGGTGTCGATACCTAGTCCACCCAATATCTGGTTGTCCCAATTTTGTACAACAATCTTAGAATTGCCGTGTGCGGTGCTTTCGTAATGCCGTTTTATGTTTGTTTATCTATTTGCAAAATATTTTTACCAGAAAAATCTATTATTTTTACAGTTGTATAATTTATTTACAAAATTATCAAAAGGAACCACCTGCAGATATCATTCTGATTGCTTTTGCACGCTCTTCAATGATCAAAATCTGCATACAGTGGAATATTTTTTTTAATTAGATCAAGCATAAAGAACACAAATGCAAAGGAAAAAATAGAAATTTATCCCTCCAAAAAATTTAGGCATGATTTTCATTTTAACTATGAAATGTTTACACTTAAATTAACATTGTAGTTATTTATCAGTGAAGACAGTTAAATGCTTCATTTGTTGCTAAAGTACCATTCTTATATTTCATATACATGTGCATCATAAACATCTTTTAAAAAGTAAAATATTAAATTTCTTGGATGGTGCGTTAGGAATTTTGTCTAGTGCATGTATGTATCCCTGCCTGCAGAGAATTGAGGCTCAACGTTGATACTCCTGTTCTAAAGCCAGTCAGGTGGAAGAATGATCGATATAATTATACAAATCGGAACCTCCTTTAATACGCTAATAACGATTCAAAACCTGCTGCTGACTGACGTTTTTCATACTAATTGTTAGTGTATTATTTATTCACTGAATTAACGACGTATTTTTCCGTTATTTCCCGATCATGACAAGGCGCACATGGCGGGTAAGACCACTCAGCAGGGGATGTTCACTCCTCCACTGCACCAGATCCCACCTCTGATGTTTCGGAGGTCCGTGTTCCCTATTTTGTATTGTTTTATGGACTTTGATAGTGAATACTATTCGTTATCTCCATATCCTTCTTGCAGTCAAGGATTCTCTTACTTACCTATAGGCTCTATCAAAGAAAATGATAATCAGTTTAAATTCGGTTCATTCCACGAATTCACAGAATCATAAATCGAGATTGGGAAATGTGATATAGGGTAGTCTTCTTTAAAAGACCAACGCTCATCTATTATAATTTTGCTTGGTCTTATAGAATTGCATTTCCAGAAATATGACTGTACACCTATGTTTTATACGAAGAATTTACATTAATTTTTTTTAATGACGTTTATAATTTACATAAATAATGATGAACAAAAAAACTGTTTAAATATTTTGACAAAATAAAAATTTGCAAACAAAATATATTATTATTGGTCTGGTCCTGGGAATATAACAAAATCATAGAGTCGAGAAGCACCACTACTGGAAATTGTACTGAGTTTAGCCAAAGGAATTCCAAAGGTACTCACTCGTGCAGTCTTGTATGAAAATACACATTTCCGGTTTTTAAAATTTGTTTTTTTATAAAAACTTCCTCATGAAATTCTAAAAATTGCGATTTTTTTCATTTATGTACACACGTTACTGGTGAAAGGTTCAGATTTAGAATATGCTCGGCATTTAGAGACATTATGGTACATATAAGTTCCACAAGGGTCTGTCTTAGGTCCTAAGCTCTACTGCATGTTTTCAAAACCTATTGGTGAGATCTGTCGCAGACATGGAATGTCCTTTCATAGCTACGCTGATGATACTCAAGTATATATGATCATCAAACCAACAGCGACCTGGGATGCCGTAGCGGCACGGCTAGAAAAATGCATGTCAGATATTAGTGCATGGATGAAAACTAACTTGCTTAAATTAAATCAAGACAAAACGGAACTTATTATCTTTACACCAAAAACAGATCCCGAGATTTTGCAAATTAAAATTTGAATTTTGATGGTCAAATCATAAATGTATCGTCCTGTGTTAGAAATTAAGGTGTATGTTTTGATTGGTCACTAAGTATGGACGACCAGATAAGTTGTATTTCTAAACAATGCTTCTATCAGCTGCGTAATATCGGTCGAATACGTAAATATATTACAGAAAGTGCCTGCAAAACCTTAGTGTGCTCACTCGTCACCTCTAGATTGGATAATGGCAATGCATTGCTATACGGGTTGAGCTCGAGCTCCCTATCAATACTACAAAGAATTCATAATACTGCGGCGAAAATAATAACCAGGACCAAGAAACAAGCTCACATCACCCCAGATCTGATTTCTTTGCATTGGTTGCGAGTTCCACATTTCGTTGTGTCAATTTATTCTGAGACCATTACACTTTACGATGGAATGAATAAAGACTAACCATTTGTTTCCATACTTCCAAGGACGTGTAAAATTCCTAACACCAAATAAATCTATAATTCTAGTTTGACACGTCTGTAAAACTGTGTCGAACTTAAGAAAAAAATTATTATGTTATGGTAAAAAAGCAAAATAATTCCTAGAAGTACAAGTGTTCAATAAATGATGTCCTCGGTGCTCAGAAAGAAGCAAAAGACGCTTTTCAATGATTTTCTCTTCATGATTTTACTAAATAATCTCTTTTAAGTAAAGTACATGTCCGTAGCATTTTTTATTTTTATCCAATTTCTGATCGTTTGTAGAACTCATTTTTGGGTATACCCTTAGTCTACTGGAAAATGGCAGATCCAATGATTTCCCGAACTTGTTTCTTCCTTCTGAAAGTTGTTTTTTTTTTCAAGTTTGGAAATAGAAACAAGTCAAACGGTCAAAGAACTGGTGAATATTGTTAATGTGAAAAAATATTAAATTTCTGTTTATCCCGAAAACCCCTTAACTCTTCAGGGCATGCAGGTTTGAACACTGTCTTGAAGAAATTCAATGTAGTGGATTCTTGATTATGGGTCCTTCCTCTAATAAACCTTTTTGTTTTGTTTTTTTGGCCAAAAAAGTGCTTTCTAGACTCCTCAAGAAATAAAACTGTCTCTCCGAATACGATTTTGAACAACAATACCACTAATGTTTAAGAAAATTACATATAAATCTTTGTGCTCTTGCATACCTGAGCACTTGTCAGACATTCGTCGTCTTTATCAAGTACATCTTATGGTAAATTTTGTTTTTAGGTTTTTAAGTAATAGATTCATGTTTCAATATCTGTTTGAAAATAAAATAAACGTGGATAACTACAATTACTGATATTTTAAAATAATTGTTTAGACTTTCGTAAACACTGTCGTTTTCACTCATTTTTCAAAATATAGGGTGACCTTTAAGTACTAAGCTTTTTTACCGTCAAACGTTTCTTAAATATAGTGTAAACTACCCCCATGTGATGTCTATCAAATTTGCTATGTGTCTTAAAGTCAATCATACATCATCAAATATTTTTTGTTGAAATTTGGCGAACAGTACATAAGTTGTTATAATTTTGTTGGCAAGGAGGGTACCCATTTTTGATGCCCATTATATAATTTTTTATCATTGAAATCAACCTGCTCTTTTGTCAATAAAACAGGCATTACTTGCTGTAAATGTCACATATTTCAGTAAATATTTCTTTGGGATTTTTAACAAGTTTTACGGCAGCTTTAATGAACTTCACTGCTTTTATTTTCACTCTAGTTTACTGATTATTTACCATACATTTATAATGCAGTGTCTCGAAAAGCCCTTGTTTCCCAGCTTCTCACGATGAAACTATGTGATGAAAAGTGGTCACATAAACTGTTATAAATTCATGAAAGATTCAATAATGAGAGAAAGTCAAGTTTAATGTCATATGATATCTGTAATGTATGTCATATAGTTCAGGACATATTTATTGAACAGCCCTCGTATATAATTTTCCCTATGTTCTTTCTTTTCTTACATCGACCAACAGCCACTAGCCATAGACAATTTTATTTGTTAAGATGTTAATAATTTGATTCTTAATTCTTGACAGACAAATTTTGTTTGCTCTTAATATTTTTAAATTTCCCAAATTTCATGTTAACTTTGCTCTTAAAATATAGAGACATGTATCTATTGCTGAGCAAACTGTGTCGACAAACGTAGGCCAAAGATATACGTTTGTTTACACCAAATATAAAATCTCGATTTATCAGAAACCCACGGCGCATCATTTATTTACATTGATATTTCAATTGTAAGACATCTCAATGACTTGAAAATGATGATAAACATATAAAGACAGGACATGTCTCATAAGGATTTCAACACACAAATCCAAACACATTTTTGTTCCCTTTAGTTTTTAGTTTTTGTTCCATTTAGCATGACAAAATAAATAAATTAAAAAAAAAGCTTTATTGATTTTTGAAATTATTTTTTGCTTTTTTTATACCAGTGTTAATTTCTAAAATGAATTCCAAGGAGGTTCCAATAACTTTAAACTTTGACACTTATGCTCTACAAGTAATGAGATGTCGTAAACGTCTCCAGCGCCAGTGAGAGCTTCCCATGAAGTCTTGCTTCAGAGTTGCAGCCATCATACTAGGGGGTGTCTGTAGAGCCTACTTCCCTTCCAGGTACCAGGGAATGTAAAATGATGAAGTCTACCCAAGGGGAAAATCTCATTTAGAGGCATGATTTGATCTACGCTGATACATGTACTATCCTTTTAAAGTCCCGTAAATTAAATTAATAAGAAAGAAGTCATAAATTTTATTTCAAATTTTTTGTACTTTATTTTATTTATTGCACAAAAGGCGTGCCTATTGTGTGATTACTTTATATTTTACATTACAGAAGAATTATAAAGTTCTGTGGAAAGAGCTCGAAGGTTTTAGAGATAACGACAAGAAACAAAAGTATAATGGGGATATCAAAAGATACAACTACTGGAGTGTATGTCTCCATGCGGGGAAATGGGACTTAAGGGTGATATTTTTGGTTTGTGTTTTACAACACCTATAATTACTCCTGGATTGGTACCGGTAGAACTAGACTCACTACTAGTCCTGAAATGTATAAATACATTACGTTAAACCCACGCTTTTCAAAAACCAAAGTATAGAAACTATAAAATAAAAAGGATAAAAGTATGAAAGACAAGCTTACTTCGAATGCTACCAATGTTTATATTCATAGTAGAAACCAAATGCATTTGTTCCATTTTCGTAGTAACATCGTCCGATTGCATCTATAATACAAGAATATTTTCCTACATTGTAAACTATATCTTTGCTGATTAAAGAAATAAGCTCAGAATATCAGCCGATTCAATCGCAAACTATATCGAAATTTCTGTAAACTGAATGTAATAAAGTCCTTTACCAACCTTTTGTGTTCAAAAGGAGAACAATTATTATCAGTAGAAAGTTCTTATCCATGATGGGGTAATCAAACATCTGTGAAGGTACATGTATTACTTTTAGCTTTATATAAGCTGCATGAATCATGGGTTAAAACTTATTTCCTTATTAAATTAAAACCGAATTTCTCAGTTTAATCCTCAAAATATGCAATGTCAATAAAAAGGAAAAAATAAACTGAATTTAACAGTTGTATTTTTAATAGTATATGAAGTAATCTATTGTATTTAACAATCATCAGGACACTAGATATAATTATTACTTTTACATGTCATTGAATACTTCCTCACTGGAATTTTATAAATTCAATAGAAGATCATTAAACTTTGTAAGTTAGGAGGAAATTACAATAATAAGGAAGTGACAAAATTGCGCAGTAACGTGAAAAAAATGCCAATAGCAACGATGGAAAGTAAGAAATATATTTCTTCCTTTGAAGCAAAGATAATTTAAATCAAATTGTTAAATCAAATTGTTCATTTATATTAATCTACAAGTTCAACGTATTTTATATCACCCGCTGACCGGATATCCTTCTTTTTGTATAAATAACACCTCTTACATTTATTTATGCAAGATTGTTATATCAAACGAATATTTATCAAGGTTATGTGCTAAAAGACGGATTTTGTTAAAAAAAAAGTAAGAGTTGAGAATTCGAGATTAAATATATTGAATGATTGATATTGTTGAACGCATATTCGGCAATTTTTCAGTAATGTTTCAGCGGGATATCAAATTGAAAAATGCTGCAGTGCTACATAAATTATTCTCAAAGTATACAATTACGCATTTAATGCCTACAGAAAGGCACTAATTGTCATATTTTTGGTGGTCTCTCAGATATCTCTAATGACATTTTATTCTTCCTTAATTTCTGCTGCTTACATGAACGATGTATATCTTACTTTTTATCATATTTATATTTGTAATAAATATATGTTCATCTATTTTAGCAATCAAAACATTTGATTATGTACGTAATTTCCAAAAAAAAAGAACATCTACTAGTTATTGCTGGATCCTGCCTCCATTCAAATGAAAAAGAACATTATATTATGACAACTTATTCTCCAAAAGGAGCATAAACCCATTTTTGTTGGTGAAATCGAATTGGAGGTAGCTGATAAGTATCGTGGAGCCTGGCGATGTATATGGTCGATTGGTTGTATGTTGTTTAACATCCTGTATAAGTATATTTAATTCATGTACAGATGTCACTGTATACGGGTGTAGAGCTTCAAATTTAGATTATGCTCATCAGTTAGAGCCATTATGGTACACAGAAGTATTACAACTTAAACTACCTTTTAGAGCCTTTTGATTTTTTTTAGAAGATGAGTACATTAGTTCTTGTAACAGTTGTTCAATACAGAATGAGCTGGCTTTGTCTCTGGGATATAAGACTTAACACATTAATAATCTATAATTTAAAAAATATCAATATTTTGTTGAAGCATAAAAACATATTTGCATACTCAAATAATTAATAGAATCAAAGGGCGCTGATTTTTGTTTCTCCTTGATATCTTGAAGTCGTTTAAAAACGGGATCTGGAAGGATTTGTTTTATAGGGTTTAGATTGGTTTTACAAGCCGTAATACAATTCATGACTGTTGGTCTTAGGTCACTCGAATGCAGCTTACCAATTATTTCGTGTGACCAAAACCCGATTTCCAAGAATTTTTGACATGTGGCATATGTGCCAAGCCATTCAACTGGTGCTATAACTCATTATCCTTCTGCTACTTGAAAAGGTAACCCTAATTCACTTGAAAATGAGTGCTGCTTTCATCAAATTCATGCACTGTTTTGCTTGATAAAACATTTTAGGAGAGTTTGTGGTTAACCTAGAATTGTAACAATATACACATCTTAAGTTTCTTTAAAGTACAAAAATATAATTGTTAGGTCAATTACCGTTCGGGGCATACGTGGATTTTTCATTATTATGCTAATTAAAAGTACAGGTATATACTTTAATATTATCTACCACTGGTTGTGAAATCTTGCTTTATTGCTGCTTTTAACTATGCCATCAACAACAATCTCCAATATTACAAAAAATATTTAAAATTATGTTTGTTTTACCTTCCTTTATTTATCAAATACATACTAAAACACTTAAATCTACCCATCGGTTAAAAATATTTCAAAGAACAACAAAAATGTGTACCAATAAAGGATAATTCATTGATTGTATGTTGTTTAACGCCCCTCTCGAAAATTTTTCAACAATATGGAGACGCGATCACTTGCCTGTGGAGAGCTACAAATTTTGCCCTATACTCGGCATTGAGCACTGAGGGATCTTTTTTGTGCCAGCGCCTACTGCGACATCGGACCTCGGTTAATACGATCTCATCCGAAGGACCGTCTCCACGTCCCATAGTGGGATTCGACCCCGCGACGTAAGGATTGACTCCTTACTTCACGACTCAAGAGCAGACGCTCTAATCACTGAGCCAAGCGGGCGACCAATAAAGGATAAAATGTCCACTTTAAATATTTGATATTTTACTACTATGTAATGAACACATACTATGAGTATTTTTGTTTTAGTTCGCCTTCATTTTTTTTGTTTAAATTACAACACGAAATTAGTCTGTAAACTGTATTTTTTTTCAAAGCATTCAAATGACACGTTTTCACATTTGATTTAAACTTTAAAACATCAACCGCTCGAGAAATATCGATTTTGTGATCAAAGTACATGTACCACTCATATTATATCCACCACCCAGAAAAAAGTATACATCATGAACATTACACTGCTGCAGTAGATAATACCGTAGAAAATAATTAAAATTTAAACATTTCCAGATTTGAATTAAACACATTTTCAGGTCGACGTTTGACTCATGGCTAATCCAACATTCAGAGCACAATTTGCATCTCACCATTACACTGATGGAATCAATATTTCCTCAAAATTGAATTCAGATAATATATTTCCAGATTTTATTAGAATTTTATTACCTGTATTTTGTCGGGAAAAAAGTACATATTTGGATCAACACTTGGCAAATTATTTCTTTGACTCTAAATTTAGATCAAAATGTCACTGATTTCTTGTATTTTGGTTCCTTAGATTTTGATTCTTTCATATACTCTCTCCATCAAATGAAAATAAAAACTTTTTTGGTATTTGCATCTGGAAACACGGCGGCTTTTCAGCAAATTGCTGTTCATCCCTACCTTACCTAAGACTGTTAAATCTCTAAAAAATGGACTTCTCATTGAATGACAGTCCTTCTACCAGTTTTGTACTTTTTATATTTAATTTTCAGCATTTTTTTACGTAGGAGAAAGGCCTCAAACAGTTTATACTTTAAGAGAAAGAACTAATCTTGGGCATGTGACCCTTGGCTAGTTCTTTATCTCACAGAAGGGACAGCTCTTTGTCTTTCTCCTTTCTCCTTATCTCGTAATCAAACGCCGTAGACAAAGGTTAATGCAGGTGATGGAAAGATGGTGAAAGATGATGGAAGAGAGTGGCCGAGAATATCAGATTTATAAATGAAGATTTTATAAAGAATCATTTTTAATGAAAATAAAGAAATGAATGTTCTACCTTAACAATTGAATCAAGAGACTACAACAGTTTAATGCAGCTGATTTTAGATTAAGCTGCATTTTAAAAATGAAACAAATAGTGAAGAGAGTGCTTCCTCCAAAATCTGCTTACATCTCAAATCCTGGAGAATATCAGATTTAAAAACGAAAATTTTATGAAGAATCATTTTTAATGAAAATATAACAATTGCGTTATGTTTCAAAGGCGTCATGAATTACATGTATTAAGAATATTCAAATAAAGTCTAATTCAAAATAATATACAACGTGATGACTTTCTAAACGTGATGACTTATACAATATAGCAATATAACATCATCACCTGCATACGGAGTATATATATCTCAGTTGATTCGGTACACAAGAGCATGCTCTACGTATGAACAATTTCTAAAACGAAATAAATTATTGACAAGCAAGTTGATTAAACAAGAATATCAGCAGTCTCGTTTAAAGTCATCATTTTGTAAGTTCTATGGTCGATACAATGACATTGTCAGCAAATGCAATTTATCATTGAGTCCAATGCTGACTAACGTTTTTCATACAAATTGTTAGTCCATTATTTATACACTAAATTGACGACGGATTTTTTCCGTTATTTCATGATCATGACCAGGGGCACGAGCGGGTGTGACCGGTCGGCAGGGGATGCTCAATCCTCCATGGCACCTGATCCCACCTCTGATGTTTCGGGGGTCCGTGTTTGTTCTTCTCGTATTTTATATTGTTTTATGGACTTTGAAATTGAATACTGTTCGTTATCTCCATATCCTTCAAACACGAAAAGAATAAAGCACTGTGCTTTTATATATATATATCGACGAAGCATTATAATTTAACAGTATCAAAAGATACCACATAGTCTGACACATCTGTTTCATATATGGATATTTTTTGTAGTGTAATACGTTAATGGTAATCTTACAACAAAAAATGATGACAGGCGTTATGATTTCAAAATTTCTATCTTTAAATTTCCTCACTTGCCTATCAATATGCCCTTATAACCTGCATATATAAATTAATGGTTTGCACTTGATTCGATACGCAAAAGCATGTTCCATGTCTGAACAATTTCTTAAACAAGGCAAGCCAATGAAAGACAAATTTATGGAACGAGAATATCAACAATTTAGTTTGAAGCATCATTTTGCATGTTTTAAGGTCAATTAATACAGTGTCATGTCCTTGTCAGCAAGTGCACTACTGTATACAGGGTTATTATCGCCCCGCTTTATTTTCGCTCTTTTATATTTTCTAACAAGTTTGCTCTCTTTTAAATTCGCCAAATTACAATTCCGTTTAGGAAATTATGTTGTGTTATTTGATTTTGCTCCGTTTTAAATTTGCCAACTTGTGACAAGGGCAAAAGGGGCGAGAATTAAGCGGCGGCAAAAAATTCCCGGTATACAGTATTTAGTTATGTCAATTGCTTGCAAATGTTTTTCACATCAGTTGTAAGAACATTATCAACATACTGAATTGTCTACATTTTTTTCATTCTCCCGATCTCAGGGAACACATGATAGGTGTTTCCGCTCGAATGAGAA